GTATGAAGTCATAACATGTATACAAAATATCTCCAAATTAAATTCAAAAAGTTTTGCTACATTTTATTTCCCTCTCTTTAAGAGCAGAATAGCTTATATAATCAGAAATCACTAGATTGTCATTTATTGTGATTAATTTGAGATCTTTTTCGCTTTACAATTAAACGCCGTGGCAAAAACCCAGGGCATATTTGTGAATTTTTTTGTTCCATTGACTTCTTTGACATTTTGTGAATGCTGTCCCCTAACTCTTTTCTATTTCAGATCACAGCTACGGATAGGTAAACTACCTTGAAACTTTACTTATCTTTCAGCTTTACACATGACCAGGATGCTGTTCTCTTAATCACCACTTTTTGTGTCTGGTAACAAGATATTGGGGCGGAAAAGAAGAAAAGAGATTTGAATAAATCAGTGCATTGGGAGGGTATGAAGAAACATGACAGCAGCAGATGCATGGCTTCGATAGAGGATTGTAGAGAAGCACCAGAAGCAGGTCCTATGTTGTTGTCCTGCACACTAGCTGTAAGAATATTCAAGACAGTATTAGCAATTTCACATCTGGTACTCAGAAGTGACTTTCAAAAACTTTTTCAAAATGTGAGCCTTTGTTATCTGACTCAGAGGATAAATCTTGGGAAAATACCATTTGCCACTAAGTTAACAGGAACTTCTCTTATTGTAGTGCCAAGATTGAAGTCCAAGCAAAAACCTATCAGAAGGAGCTCTGGCTTAATAAAAGGCCCTGCTGACGTCTCAGAGATTGTCTCCCAGGGGAAATAAGCTTGTTTGCCCAGTGCAGACAAAGGACTGATGATAAGCAGAGGAGTATTTATTACTTCAATGAATGAACACGTATGAATATACATATATAGGTATAGATATATATATCTGAAATAGTATTTATTTCTGAGTCTAAATTGACCAAATGTGAAGGAAGCCAACTATGCTAGCAATGCCAAAGGAAAGTTTTAAGATAAGGATTAAAAAAAAACCAAAGAAAATTCAAAGTGAAGTAGCAAAACTCTTCTTTTTGAAACTAAGATGCCATCTAGCTCATGCAAAAGGCATGCAATGTTACTTCCAAGTTTGAGAAAAAAAAAATCCTTCCTTAAAACACTAGTCTCTAAATTACTTCTGCAGCACACCGTGGCATCTCCTCAATTTCAAAAGGCAAAATAATGTCCTCTGGGGGGGAAAAAATATTTTAATCAATATTGTTTTCTAAACTATATCCAAAAATTCATTCCAAACGTGAAAGACAAAAGCCCAGTATGCAGTATGCAAGTATGAAAAGTGCTTTACTTCTAGAAATTGTCTCTTTACATTTGTATCTCTCTGTGTTCTTGTCTGTTAAGGTCTTCCTTACTCTCAGAAACATATAGATATCTCCCAGCAGATTGTCTGGAGATGCTACTCTTTTATATATGATTGAAGACTTTTATCAACTGTCATATCCACAATGATTTACTGCAATCTGTGGGAAATCATGCAAACATTTACGTCTTCTCATACAGGTATCAATTTTGAGCCTACTTTTACAACATGAGGATGAGAGAATGGAATTTTTTCTACCATAATCTCCTCCACTGAGATATTGGTCTTTGCTTCTTGTTATAATTTATTTTTGGTTCTCAAATCAAATCTCATTGAAGCACAGTTTCTAAAACTTGAGTGTGAAGGAAGACCTTTAGATTAGTAATCAAAGATCAGAATAATCTATTTATTTCTAGTCTTAGTGATGTAAGTCCAGGCAGAATTTATTCAGCAAAAACTCCCTGCAGATCTAGGATACGTGAATTTATTCAACACAACAGAAAAGTGACCATGCTGATCATCAAGTCCTTTACAAGTGATAGCTTTTCTTCCACTCATTCTCACACTACAGCTGCTCTTATTCTCCTTTTGAGAAGGCATTTGTCCTGAACAACAATTCATAGATGCACACAAATATAAAACATGCTGTAGTCAAGCAAACTACATGAGTGAAGTCTCCTTGGAGTAGAGGGTAGTGGCTGGGTTTCCATTATGGTGAGGGCTGGCAAATTGACTACATTTTTGACTACAAATTGACTACACTGCCACAAACACATCAAAGCAAGAGCTACATACTCACCATGGTAGAGGCAACAACTGGCTGGCTGGAAACATACTCTGTAAAGCATTGCCACTGCTTGGAAGGAACACCATCTCAGGCCTTGGAAGACAAATTTTGTAGCGACATGGTACACCAGAGGGAATTGAATCAGACAGTGGGACTCATTTTCAAAATAACCTCACGAAGTCCCAGGCAAAGAAACACAGCACTGGGTGGATATACCACATCCCTTATCACCCGTGATCACCTGGGAAGATTCAGAGGTATAATGGACTGCTGAGGACCATGTTATGAGCATTAGGTAATTGGCCATGGAAGCACTGGCATGCAAATTTAGCAGAAGTCATTTGGCTGGCTAACACTAGGGGATCTGCTGACTGCCTTTGTCCTACCCAAACAAAATCACTTCATGCTGTGGGAAGAGATATGGTCCCTGCACTACACAGGGAAATGGCTGGGAAAGTCAGTGTGGGTTTCTCCTCTCACTAAGGCAAATGCATTCATGGGATTGTCATTACCCAAGGCCCTGGGTGTATTTGGTGGGCAATGATTTGGTGGGCAACGTAGAAAGATGGGGAGACATGGTGTATACCTCAAGGAGATTTAATCCTGGGGCAAAAATATACTGTGGTGTAAGTTGTATTTTGCAGGAAGTAAAGTAGCAGGAGAGACATGAACTGATGAAGGGTGGATTTTGTGAGGAGCAAGGAGAATGCGATGACAACCCAAGCTGGGCTGGTGTTAGTGCCCAGTGATCAAGTATACCACTTCTCCTGTCCTTTCCACTCATCCTGAGGGACTGGAGATCTGGAGGGATGAAGGAAGCCCATGAAACAGGAAAATAATATCTATCTGTGAAAGCACAAGGGACAGCAGTTAATGAAAATGTGTGTTTGGTAGAGAGATGGTTTAAGGATGTAGTTTAAGGTGACTGTGTGTGTAAAAAGGGTTCTAGTAATGAAAAATAAAGGAACAGTCACAAGATATATGAATTATGTGGGATCTGAGTGTGACATAAGTAGTGTGAAATAAGGGGTGAAGATTATATTGGGTCTGACTGAGCTGGAGTTAATTTTCCCTTAACAGCCCCGTGCTTTGCACAGGTAGTGGGAAAGCTGCTGCTAACACACCAGTGTTTTGGCTATTGCTGAGCAGCACTGGCACAGCATCAGCTCTGTCTCTCCAACATTCCTCCCTCCATCAGGAGGGCTGGGGCTGGGCAAGATCCTGGGAGGGGACACAACCAGGCCAGCTGAGCGAAACTGGCCAGAACAATATTCCAGATGCAAAAGCTGAGGGAGGGCAGGAGGAGGAATGGGAGGCTTTAGTTATTTTACAGTGTTTGCCTTCCAGAGCAGCTGCTCCACATGCTGAGGCCCTGCTTCCCAGGAAGTTGCTGAGCATCACTCACCAATGGGAAGTAGAGATTAATTTATTTTCCCCTTCACTTATACACACAAAAACTTCCACTTTTGCTTTAGTAAACTCCCTTATCTCTACCTCCAAGTTCTTCTCCATATTATTTTTCTCTTCCCTGTTCCACTGGGAAGGGGATTGATAGAGAGGCTTGATGGGCAGCTGGTCCTCAGCCAAGGTCAACCCACTACATTCATACATAAAGAAGGCTCTGAAGAGGCAACCCACAAAGACAGGGGTGCGAATGTGTGGTGATGGCCTGCAGGAACCTTTCCCCAGAAAGGCAGAGGAGTCTAGCAGTAGCTATGCAGCCTGGGACACAAGTATGCAGCATTCACCTCCTACCAAGTATTCTGCTGTGCTGTAAAGAAAAAAATCCTTCTGGAACCTTAACAGAGACTCAAAAAACAAGAAAAATACATTAGTTCTCCATTTGAAACACAGGAGGAAGAGTAGCACTAGGAAGTTTCTCAAAAGCAGACTTTGAATTTAGCTCATATCACATCATCACCCAGTAGTGGACATGTTTTTTCCTAAATTCACAAAGCCTAGGCATCTGTGAAATACAGTACTTCTCAGTGCATGCTGCTGAGAGCTGTAGTCTCTTGAGCCGAAGAATCTACAGCAAACAAGAATAACAAAAAATAAGCAAAATAAATATGGATGTCAAATTTTCTGATATCTACCTTAATTATTGTGGTGCCTTTTTCAGTAAAAGACACAAGACACATCCTTAAATGTTTTAAGTTGAAACAGGCACTTGGGTCTCTGTGAAGTCAAAAGGACTTTCAAAATTCTTTCCTGAAATGAAGTCTTCACTGTTATGAGCATCTCCTTTTCTTGTTTAACTTTATCAGAGTACTTGGTGTTCAGTACATGAAGCTAAGAGATCACTTTCATAAACGAGTCTGAGACACACAGAGGTTTCATGAAAGCAAGATTAAGGTGTTAGTAACATTAAATGTGTTATTAATTTTATTACTGCTTTTCACTTAAAACTTTTCTGATAAGAACATTGAAAGTTCCCTTGCTATTATTCTAACTTATCCACATTACAGCCTCTATTTTGTATTTATTAAACACAGTAAGAATCAAGCTGTAGTGGAGTGATCACTTACATGGAATCAATAAATATCATATTTTGCCATATATTTTCTTCTTCAAATAGTACTATAACACAGCAATGTCACGTGTCAAAGTATAAAAACACTCTTAGTAAGTGATGAGTGTCTTTAATATAGTATTTTCAGAAAATTCCCCTGATGACTCAAAATGAGAGAGGAGAAATAGCTACAATTCAAGGAGGAAATAAGAAAGAGATGAAGATGAAACTTGCAAGAATTTCATCGTTGTCTACTGTGCTGGTTTTGTATGAATTGAGTTTTGGTGAGAAGGGAATGAGCCCAGCCAAGGAAGTGATGCTCTCAGAGAAGCTGCTAACAGCTTCCTTTACACCTGGCAAATGAAACTGAAACCATTTACTCACCTCAATCACCTCAGGCTGGGACATCATGGACGAGGGCACCAAATCAGTGGGGATATCCATGGTAGCTCAAAATGCCCCTGCTGTCCTTGCACTGCTCCTCTGCACCAGCAAGCTCTTGGTAGGAACACAGAAGCCCTTCCTCAGACTCTAGTCATACTGGTATTTATTCCTAACAGAAAAGAAAAACAAACCTGTTGAGACTAACAGGAGAATTAGGTAGGCAGTCAACACGTAAGACCCTGGGCCTCTGCAAAACCAGTCTGAGTTTGTACAGCACCACTTGCTGACATGACCACTCACAACAGATTCGCAGAGGAAGTTTCAAAAGGCATACTGTAATTTGATCCAGAACAGGAAAAAAATTCACTTGACAACACAAACTGAAATCAGCAAGAAGTCTAAGGCACAAACTGCTTTTCTTTTGCAAGGAAATATAGTCACCTAAAGAACACTGGAACTGTCATGATATTCCTCCACACCCCCAACAAAAGAAAATCTCAACAAAAGAATAATCATAGAATTACTTGCTGGAATTCAGGATATATTTATTCCCTCCGTTCAGTGATCACATTAACTTTTCTTCTTTGTTAAGAAAAACAACTTACACATTATGACTTAAAAATATGATGCCCTTTTTTTCCAGATAGTCACAGATTTGGAGTCCATGAATACACAGAACTGTAACATTTAATCAGCTTATTCAACAGAATGAAGTTATCTCCATAGCTCTCATATTTATCAAGTTCAGTCCAGCTTCTAGATATGTTCTTTTCTTTTTCTACTCATGTGCAAAGAACCAAATGAACAAAAGGTTGAGGGGGAAACCCCTGTAAATGTCCAAGATATTAATCCCATTAAAAAATTCTAGACTAAGACTACTGGTGACTTTTTCCCTTAGCCAGACCAGATATATACAACACAACCCACAAATTAGTCACCACAGAAAGGATTTTGGAGAAACACCTACCACTGTCTTCATCTATCACTTCCTCATCTGCAAGTCGTGGCAGAAATCTACTCGTGCAAAGTGTAATCAGCATCCAATAAACACATCAAAAATTACTCCAAACTTCAGTGGTATTTTCCAAACTGAGGCCATGCTACAGTTACACAGACAATGCCAGTAACTTTCCTGGCCATAAGTTCATTCTTTCAAAGGCAACACTTAGCAAGCCAAGAAAGAACAGATAAGTGCTGTAGGAAAGTTATGCTCCACATGCTTTTCTGATTCAGTTATGTCTTTTTTTTTTTTTTTTTTTGGTCTTGTTAATTTAAACTCAGCCTTTGCACGCCACTGTGGAAATTATTCCTCCTTCTTAAAAAGCATCATCTTGAAATGCCTGCTTCACATTTCAACACATCTCCTCATGCCTTACGTCACATGTAGCTGTCTCATCTTCCAAGCTCTAGGATCACTTTTTCCATCTTTATATAGCTTTCCAGTGACCCCTATTCTTTCCTACTCAGTTCTTGCTAGTAATCTTTCATTCTTTCCATTCCCTGCTCCAAATTTCTTCTCCTATACTCACGGGGAGAGCAGAAAATGGAGACATAGCCTCTCTCCAAGATAATCTTCACAAAGTAAAAGAACAAATACAACCTTCAGGCTGCCTGTTTTCTTTCAAAAATGAGTTGAACTAATTTTCTGAAATTCACTAATTTTTCTATGGACAGATGAGGGAAACAGATAGCACCAACTTGGAATTCTGACTTAGGGATGCTTCTGCAACTTGAGAGTGATTTTTCAGTAAAACCATCAATAGCCTGAAAATCGTCAACCAATATATCATCAATATCTTGTGAGCTGCTGCAACTGTAATAAGACCTTAAAAAACATTTTCTTCTGTTCTTCTCATGACATGCTTAAAAGCAGCAGTTTCACTGTACCTACTTTACAACACGTCATTGTTAGTTTCTTTTAAAATCTTTTAATCCAGAAATGCTGCAACTTTTGGATAATGAAGGCAGGGAAAAAATTACAGTTGAAGCTGACTTTAGGGAATACTGTCTAAACCAAAACCAAAGGTATGCTTAGAACCCTGTCTGTCAAACAAAAAGGAGAGAAAACAAACATTTTTACTCGGGAGCATCATAAAGAAAAAAAATGATGAAAAACTAAGAAAAAAAATCTGAAGTCTATTCAGCTTACAGTATAAAGTACTAATTGATCCCAGATGCACAGATGTTGTAAACTAATCAAAGAAAATAAAACATTTGAACACCATGTAGAAAAGGTGAGAAAGTATGAAAAAGGTCTCACACAAATGTCACTCTTCCTGATGTCACATCTGAATTTTTGCCATCCGAAAGTATTATTCTGGCATCACTCACCTCTGGCAGCCTTCACTAAACAATCCTGCTTGCAATTAATTCATTCAGCTCACAAGTAAATGAATCCACCCACCATGGCAGCCTTACCAGTCACAAAGAAAAATGAATGCCAGGGAAGAACAAGAGCTTGTCTGCTCAGCATTTCATTTTACTACTTGTTGGAGTGATAGGTAGCACAACAGGTCTTTTTCTACTGTCCCGAGTTGAGACAAGAACAATTCACTGGAAACAGCAATGAGGTAATAATATGAACAGTAACAGCAACAATATTAATAACGTAAGTATACATAAAGAAGGCGATTTACACGCAAAAGTGCTCAAAGACTGACCTGGTGCCATGCTGCCCCTGAGACAATGAACCATGCAGAGACCTTCTTGTGCCCATGTTTTTCCTCCCGACTGCAAGCCTCCCCTCTTTCTTGGAAGCAAGATTCCCTTACTTCCAGATGTGTGTGGCACAGAAAAACCACCTAGGCATGCCTGAAGGGCTCCAGGTTCTGACCCCTCATGGCTACTCTGTCCTAGACAAAAAAGAAGCACTATGCACCCCTTATTCTATGCCATCTACATCATGCCCCATTCCTACACCTTCCAACTTTACACACACACATCTACAGATACACACAAACACAGGCATCATTTCCATAGTCTGTGGCTGTCTCTCCAAGACATCTGTTGTGTTCATTCAATCCATGACTCCAGGGCTCTATGAGGAGCTCACGTCTGGTGTATCTGGAACTTCCATACTCATTGTCCTTGTCAGTTATGGCATATAGTGGCAGTGCCATTCAGCAACCACTATTATTTAATTCAGCATTACAGACTCTTCTCAGCCAAAAAGTAAATCCTTTTGGAGTACACACCATGTTTCCCCATCCCTCTGCATTATCCACCAAGTGTACTAAGGTCCTTGAACAAAAAGAATACCATGGATGGGTTTGCCTTTCCTTGAGGTAGCACTAATCCAAACTGTCTTCCCTCACACATTTCTCATATGCAGTACTGCAACTTTATCCCCTTCTACCACGCATGGAGATTTAGACTGGGCAGGTCCAGCTCAAATCGCAGAGCCTCTAATACTAAAAGCCTCCAGTGTTAACTAACCAAGTGGCCTTAACTAAAATGTAGATGCCAATGTTTGAAGGTCCCACTACCCATTGCTTTCAATGTGGTTTGTGGAAGTCCACTGCACTGTTCAATTTTTGCAGAGACTACTGCATAACAAACCCACTCAATCCCATGCTCTCTGGGCCAAGTGTCTATTACTGAAATGAGTCCCATTGTCAGATTCAATTCTCTCAGGGGTACCATGCCTCCAAAGAACTTGTTTTTCCTGGCCCAGGATGGTGTTCCAAGCAGTGGCATGAGGCACAGGGTAGGTCTCCAACCATCCAGTGGTGGCTTCCACCATGGTCAGCATGTAGGGCTAGCCTTGGTGTGTCTGGGGCAGTGTGATGTAGTCAATCTGCCAGGCTTCCCCATGCTTATATTTGGGCCATCGCCCCCCATACCAGAGGGGCTTCACCCTCTTGGCTTGTTTGATGGCAGTGCACGTCTCACAGTCATGGATAACCTGAGAAAGGTTAAATCCACCCCTGGATCACAAGCCCATCTGTGTGTTGCATCTCTTTTCTAATTATCAGAGTCATCATGGGCCCACTGAGCCAGAAGCAATTCTTGTTCCCAGTCCAGATCACCCAATTCACTTCAACCTTGGCAGTTCATCCACCTGTCTGCTGTTGCAGTGTTCTTCACAAGCCTGACTCTTGGGGTGCATGTGCATCTACAGCACACACTTTTATAGCACTCTACCCAGGCAGAGATGTCTTGCCATAGTTCAGAAGTCCAGATGTGTTTCCCTCTGTGCTGCCAATTGTCTTTTTTCCATCATTCCAGCCACACCCACAGAGCGTTTGCCACCATCCACGAGTCAGTACAGAGGCAGAGCACTGGCCACTTCTCTCATTCAGCAATATCCAAACCTAGCTGGACGGCTTTAAGCTCTGCAACCTGACTAGATCCATCAAGCTTCACAACTTGCCATATAGGACTCCATACAGCAGCTTCTCATTTTTGATATATCCCTAAGATATGGCACAAACTGTCAGTAAAGAAAGAATATAGCTTCTCATTTTAAGGTAGATGATTATATGGTAAGGGCTTCTCAGCACATCACCCTTACCTCCTCCACCTCTTCTGATGATAATCTGAAATTTTTGCTTTTGTATCAGTCCATGATGACTTCTGGTGATTTGGATTTCCTATTTTAACTTGCTGTGTGATCAAGTGCAGCCCACTTACTTCATGTAGCATCAGTGGCATGAAGTGTGGAAGGAACTTTCCCTTTGAATATCCAGCCCAGCACTGGGCAGCCAGGGTGCCAGGAGGAACTATACTTTGGTGCCAGTCATTTCTGAAGCAGATTGATCCCCTTCATAAGCTTCCAGATATGCTTCTTCAGCCAGGGTGTAGGATGCCTTGGATCCTTTGTATTGCCGACTTCAGAATCCCAGGTGTTGTCCTTAAGTCTCTCCTTAAGTCCAGAGACTCCAGGAAGGTCCATTCTCCCTGACTTCCTGTCCCATCCTGGCTGGCCCAAGGGCTTCTCCATGAACAATCTACTGTTTAATTTGTCCAAAAGCTTGTTGTTGTTCAGGATCCCACTTGAAATCATTCTTCTTCTGTGTCACCTGATAGAGAGAGAGGGCTTACAACCTGACTCTAGTCTGGAACATGGATCCTCCAAAAAAACGACAATGCCTAAAAAAGTCTGTGTTTCCTTCTTGCTGGCTGGTGGGGACACAGCTGAAGGTCCCTTGATCTTACTTCACCAAAAAGCTAGGATGCCACCAAGGCACAAGGACAAGCCAAACTAACTTAAGTTGTTTTGAGGAATATATTTAATGCAGGTATCTCGGTGTGTGCATGTTGCAAACTGAGCTACTTGCATTTAGTGTATTTCTTAGTAGAAGTGGTTATGATCTTTACCATTTCCTCCTAATTCTGCCCTCTCTCTGTTCCATGGGGTGATGTATGTGCAAATGAGGACAGCCCCCTGCACTCTGTTAAGACTTAAAAGAGCCGCAAGAAGGTAATACCTCTGATTCAGTACTGGGCAAAAGAAGCAGAAAAGAAATAAAAGAGGAAATTTCCAGACAGATGGTACAGCCCATTGTTGTACACTTGCCCTAAAGTTCTTCTGAACAACAGGGAGCAATTTTTTTCCATTTAATGAGACTCCTTTCTATCTCCCCATAAATTTCTGATGTCTCAGCAAATAGACTACTGTTTCTCTTCTCTCAGCAGATGTACTAACAGTTTGGAAGCTAGCACAAAATTAACATTCCCAGTCAAACTTTGCTGATACGGTGTGTTTTACATATTTTTTTAACATATTTTTACATATTTTACAGAGCAAATTCTGTTGATTGATACCAGCCTGGCTCTGTTACCTGACACCCATTTACAGAAAGCAGGATAAAGAGTGTCATTCACAGCCACCATCTATTACCATGGCATTAAGTACTGACACAAATCTAGTATATGGCATTGATTAAACATGTTCAGTAGTGATGACTGCAACTAATCAGTGCACCTTTAGAACAATTACTGTCTTAGTTTACACTGTAAGATGCAACCAAAGTATGTATTCTATCTAGTATGTATTCTATTTTCATAAGCTGTTAAAACCAGGTGGGGCAGCATTCTTTATCTCTTCCATGACACGTCCCTGATGACTCCCTCCAAAGGATATCTTCTGTTAATGGGCCATCAAGGTCTCACTGCATGACTCATAAAACTACATCATCCCATGGTGAGATGCTCCGCCCAGGGGGAGGAACCAAGCTGGATATTCCTACCTGGATATAACTGGACGTTTGGAACACAAGAGGATCTACCACTGGATTCCCAGACAAGAGCTCAACAATCACCACTGGAAAAGGACCAGACTTTTTTACAAGATCACCACTTGAACAGAACCACATCCACCATTTAATTGGATTGCTATCACCATCCTGGCCAACAAGATGTCAGGTTGTATTCTAACTGACAGTTTTAGCCAGTGTTTTCTGCCTTTATTTCAATTTTCTTATTAAATTGTAGTTCTGACTTGGAATCTCTCAGCAGTTTGCTATCAAACTGGTACAGCTACCAATAAAATGCACAAGTTACAACTGTTCTTACAGCACATGCAACACCTCCATGGTCCCAGTGAAGACCAGCTCTACAAATATATCCACCCCCAAAGTCTTCCTTCTGTTTCTAAACACTAGCCAGAGTGCTTGAAAAAATTACAGAGCTATGGCTTCTCATCCATTTGGAAGCTCTTCACAAGAATTAATAAATTCGCTGTGAAAATGGATTTGTGAAGTATTACTGAGGGGTCGTGGAAGTCTGGAAGGGGAATGCCAAAAACAAGGGACAAGCTCACCTCATTTCCTGGCTGCTGGCTGCACCATCAACCCCCCTGGAAACAGTCCCTGCCAGTAAAGCCAGACATTTCTTTGGGTCTAACTTCACTGTCTAGAAAAATAGAATGGAATTTGCTAACATTTGAAAAGGTTCAGACACAACAATAGGAAATCTCTACCTTGCAAATACTGTAATAAAAACAAAACAAAACCAAAGCCCAGAGTAAAACATACCTGACTCTGCCCTTTCCTAGTACCGAGTGACAAAAGTTATAAAATTAACAGAAGTTACAACCAGGCCTAAGAAATTGTCCAGATTTTTAAGATTAAGAATAAAGATCAAAGACAGACTGAAGGCACAACAAAACTTATTCATTCACTTCTGCAGAAGAAACAGATCCTGACAGGAACCAAGGTGAATTTTTCATGCTGCTGTTGGACTAGCGTGCTGTATAGGAGCAAAAGCTCTTACATATGCACCAAAGACAGGCAATAATTATACAGAATAAAATATGCTTATATAAATAATACCTCATACCCAAAACACAGCACATGTATTTATCCAAATCACAAACGGAAATCAACTTATATCTAAGAACACTTTTCCATCAAATCCCTGTCCCTATGGAGGAATACCCTATGGACCTAGCAATTTCTTTGCAGTTGTCAATACTTAATTCACATTGACGTTAAATGCCAATTCCTTGCAGATATTGTTTAAGAGATCAGAATTTTCTTTTACAGTCTGAGAACATTAATCCAAGAGCATCAATTTCTATCCAGACCACTTCTGCTCACTGAACTCCTGCTGTTGATGAAGCATTGCTCTGAGCACAAACATATCCAGAGCAATTATTAAAAAGGATCATTTTCCAACCTGACACAATAAAAGAACAACATAGAAACTGGCTAAGCAAAACAACATTAAAGCTTAGGAGGGAGGGAAGAAGAGGGAAGGAGACTGGCAACAAGAGTAACATAGTGTTTTAAATGTTTCACTGTCATCAAAATCTGACATCAATAATAAATAAACTGGAAACTACAATGAATAGTTGAGTCAGTTGGCCCAAACCCCAGAACTGGTTGGTACTAAACCTTCTCTCATGACCTCACTCTTTGGCTTCATGTAGAAGAACAAAATTTTGTAGCAGATCTGCAGAAGCACTACCAGAGCTGCACTCAGAGGATGTCCTGTGTGATGGGGATGTCGTGAGGCCAGCTGAGACAGCCACCTGCCTAGGCACTGAGAGAGAGCAGGAGAACAGCCTCCAGCAAGTGACTGGGCAGCAAGCGATATCACTACCCACCATTTGATCTCCAGCAGGCTGCCTCAAAATCTCAGGGGAGACCAGGGTAAAATGGCATGGACAGCTCAGAAGATCAGATCACAAAAATGGCAGGGTCCTCTCCTGGTCATTGCAGACCACCCCCCTTTTATTCCGTGCACATAGTCTGTTTTCTGGCTTTTCTCAGGGTTTTGGGGGTTTTTTTGTTTGTTTTGGTTTTGTTTGTTTTTTTTTTCTGTATATGGAGGTTTGTTTTTGTTTTGGTTTTTTGTGTGTGTGTTTTTGTAGGATTTTTTCTTTGTTTTCAGCAATCTGAACTCTCAGGATTTTGGCAATGAGAAAAACAGGACAAAAAATCTCTCTCAATTACAGATGAAACCCAACCACTGAACATGTCAAAACAGGTAATGCCTACACCACTGCTGTCCCTTTGGAATGACAGTGCCCTAAACAATTGTCTTGGAAGTGATTCAGTGTTACAAAGATATAACAAAGAGTCAGGGATTTTATTACTGCTATTGTTCAATGTCAGTAATACATCTACTTTTGTGTTGGTATGACACCTGCTTGGATTGCAGTTTCTCAGTCAAAGCATACATTCAGCTTAATATTAAGTGCAACCACTTCTTTAGCTATGAAAAGCATTAAAAGCAGGACAGCAGCATGTTTAGCTACGTATCAGCTTGAACACTGCTTTACTTAAACAGCATCAGCTGGCCAGAGCACTCAGCTTTTATTTAAGCAAATCAAAGCAAAATAACAGACAACACCTTGGAAAATTTAACTTCAAGACACCCAGGTACCTGAAAAATCCAACAAAAAACCTCAAACCAAAACAAACAGAACAAACACGAGAGTTCACTTAAAGATCAAACTAAAATGCAGAAGTCCCAAAGTGTATTACTAACCAGAAGAAAAAAAAAGAAACTCATGTTTCCTATCTTCCCTTCTGCCTTCCACCAAATCACACCTGTACACCTCAAAGACTTTTAGACTTTTTCAAAGTTGATGCAGGGGAAGTTTGCAACTTCCTGGGGCTAAAAGAGACTTCCAGTTTCCATTACCTCAGTCTTTACTTTCAAAATACAGCTGTTAGACTTTCTTAGGTAAGGAAAAAAGATGAAGATTTCAGTAGTGATTTGAAGCTAGAAATTTATTTCTATACAGATTTTTAAAACTGCTCTTAGATTCAGTAGGACTCTTCCACAACACAAGGTTCTATAAAAGATCTCAAATCTAAGTCATTTGCATTCACAGTGCAGTCTGTTCTTCAAGCAAAAAAAAAAAAAAAGAAAAAAAAAAGTCAAACTTTTTTGACTAGAAGCTCTGTGGCTAATCTGGGGAAGATCATTGTTCTGGCCTCAATAATACAAGTACTACAAGATTGCTGCTAAGGGTTCCCATAACACAATACAGTGTGCAAGTTAAGCAAAGATGCCCTGGGTGGAGCCTCCTTAGCCAAGCTAAACAGTTCCATGAACTCTGCAGAGGGAGTGTTGTCTGAAATTGTCCTCTTTCCCCACTGTAGGATTAAGGAGATGATCTGTCACCTTAATCATTTATCAGGAACTGAATTAATTTGCAACAATAAAATAGTATCACCATGCAATTGGACTCCCTCAGAGAGATCACCTGCTGTCAAAAAAGAACGTGGTTCAGCAAAGATACCTTCACAGTGATCCCACCAGGGCAAGGTTAGAGACCCTGCCCACACCCCCAAATAAAAGCAGAACAGCAATCTGAATGTACAAAAGGACAAAAACCTCTCTTCACAGATTTTCAATGAAAGCAAGCAAACAAACCAGTAGATAGTATAATATCCTCAAGCCTTTATCTTGCAGGGAAATCTTTTCCATATGCCATTCTAATTTGCCTCATACCCTTTCTGAGAATGACAAAAGCAGACTGACCACAGTCATGCACTGGGTCCCATCAAAGGGCAGACAGTTCAAGAGTCTGCAATTCAACTACACACGTCTACCTTTCTCCTTTATCTGTTCTGAGGTTCAGCCCCAGAAAGGACCTCCAGATGATCTTAAGTGAGTAAATTATTCCTGAAATTACAATCTGTTCATTCTTTCAGGAATTGCTTTTTTCCTGGAGTTGTGTATTTTCTTATTTTGAGGTTTTTGGAGGGAGAGGAAAACGTCACATTTTATTAAGTGACAGAAAGCATACTGTGAAAGGACAAACCCATAGGATTGGCATTGTAACATGTGAAATCATAATACATTCACCCTAAGTCATGTCAGTTATGGTACAAACTGGACTCACATCAGCAGCAGGCTAATCCATGAGGGTTGCAGCAGCACCTCAGGTTTCTCTGCATACTAATAAAATTTACAAAAATAAAGGAAAAAAAGAGACACACTCTTAATTTTCTATTAACATCTCAACTTTTTTCCCTAAAACTGTCATGACTGTGCTCTCCAAAACTGAATTATACTCCTTTTCCTTGCTAAACACAGGATACCTTTTTCTCTGCTACATATTGAGGCACTAAATCTCATTTGCAGTCAGACAAAACTTCCACTTATTTTATGTAGTTGTCCTTTTCCAGAATCCTTTCCATACTTCCCTGACCTAGGTCAGTTTGCACCATCCTGTGCAATTCTCTCACTTGTTAAACCTCCTTTCCTGATTATTTTCATATTGTATCTATTCCACACCCGTCTCTTGGGGAGCATTTTGTTGCTGTTTTTTTAAACCCAGAATGATACCTCATCTTCTCTCGAAGCCTCCTGCTTCTCTGAAAAGCTGAGCTTTGTCTGAAAACTCAAAAAAAAATTCTGCATGGCTTCCTCAGTTTCTCATTTTCCTGAAGTTTGCCCTTTGAAGCCAACACATCAGTTTTCCCATTACTATCCAGCACCTCTAGAATGATTTCAGTCATTATCTGGCTTCTCCTAATGACTTCCATAAGTGCTTGCTTGTTAGGAGTTGCTTAGAGATGAACCTTCCTTTGCCACTCATTAAGGCTGGAGAACCTCTTCCCACTCACTGGGACAAAAGAGTGAGCATCTCCCTCAAGGCAAGGGATGCTGGCTGATAGATGCACATCCCTTGGGATGTATTAGGGTCTTCTTCAATGAACACAATGACCAGGTCAGTGTAAAATAATCACACCAAACATAGGTAACAGACACACAAAAATTGCTTTAAAATATCTCTGTTAGCCACAGCATTATCTTCAAGAAACAACTGCAGCAGCAGCTCCACAATGCTTTTTTTTAAATTGGTAAGTACCGGAACAGTAAGATATCCCTGAAAGCTGATTTTTAATTTTTGCATTTCAAGTAAAAGCAACATGAACTAGGATGACTCCAGAATAATAATTCAAGCAATCATCTAATTTCAACATCATCTCATTACTTTAAACTTCCAGAATCTCAAGAAAATAAAGAGGAAAAATACAGCTAGACACCAACTCCAGGAGAAGAATGCCAATCTGCTCAGGCTTATGTAAACAAGTCACTACAATATGGATGGTCTCTCATAGCACAACCACAATGAAGCTGCTGTCATATGACTGTATTTCCAAAATATATACTTTCATCATACTAACATCTATAGTACCAAATACTTCTAAAAGAAGTAATTTCAAAACAGTTTCTGAAACTCTTTTAAAATTGTTTATTTCTACTGACAGACACGAAATTTGAAGTAGTTAACAAAGAGGCAGAAAAGTTCAAAGTAACCATGGATAGCTCATAATTTAAGATACATTATTAACTGTTGCCAGCATTGTGTGCACATATGTGTATAAAAGAAGTAATTGTGGTGCGTGCTTTTGTCCTCTTCTGTTTCTTCTTATTAAAAAAAAAAAAAAAAAAAAAAGGAAAATAAAAAGAGAGAGAGAGAAAAGGCATGACAGAGAAAGGAGCTGCTCGTTAAAATTATTCTGAACACTGGAATTGCAAGGGTAGTGGATAGCATGTAGCTCCAAATACATTCTCATTACTATTTTGCTTACTGATCAATATCATTAAAGAAGATAACAGTGGGCAAAGACTTTAGTATCAACTTTATTAATATTAATAGACACAGGGATAGAGTGCACCCTCAGGAAATTTGCAGATGACACCAAGTTCAGTGCTGCTGTTGACACACCTGAAGGTCAGGATGCCATCCAGAGGGATCTGGATAAGCTCGAGAAGTGACCCCATGGGAATCTCAAGAGGTTTAACAAGACCATGTTCAAGGTGCTGCTCGTGGCTCAGGACACTCCCAGTATCAACAGAGGCTGGGGGATGAATGGATTGAGAGCAGCCCTGTGAGCAGGACTGGGGGTGCTGGTGGGTGAGAGCTGCACATGACCCAGCCCAGAAAGCCAAACGTGTCCTGGGCTGCATCCAAAGCAGCGTGGGCAGCAGGGGAGGGAGGGGATTCTGCTCCACATGGAACCCTGCATCCAGCTCTGGGGTCCCAGCACAGGACGGACATGGACCTGTCAGACTGAGTCCAGAGGAGGACACCAACATGTTTAGAGGGATGCAGCACCTCTCCTATAGGAAAAGTCTGAGGGAATTGGGATTGTTCAGCCTGGGAAAGAGAAGGCTGCAGGGTGACCTAATTGCAGCATACCAGCGCCTGAAGGGAGCCTTTAAGAAAGATAGAGAAGGACTTTCTACAAGGGTATGTCGAGACAGGACAAGGGGGAATGGATTCAAACTGAGAGAGAGTACATTAAGATTATATTTTAGGAATAAATTCTTTACT